GCAACTATTTATTTATTACATTTCATCTCAATATAGATAAGAAAGATTGCTAGAGGAATTTTAATTTGATAAACATAAAAAAATATTATTACTATTATAACGCATTTCACATTTATGACATCAATAAAGCCGGAATTACATTACGTAATTAGTGGCGTGAAATTAATTTCGTGCCAATAGTTTTACGAACAGTTTCACGTGTAATTCAATAATTTCATGAATGCAAATGAGTTGCGTGCCCTGCGCGATTTTTTGGTGAAATTAGTTTCATGCAACTAATTTCATTATGAGACGCGCCGTGAAACTATTGTCGCAAAAGAGCCTGTGCTGTTTGTATTTTGATGCTCATACATGATGCCACCCTGAATTTTTATAATAAAGACTTAAAACTATTTCCAGTTGCTAAAAAACGCAGCTTTTCAAGTGTATACAGAAGCTTCTCTTTAGCTACATTGAATATAGAAAAATAGAGCTTCGATGCTGATCGGGCCATGGTTACTGCTATCGCAGGATTTCACGACACTAATTATTTTACAAAATTACTTTCGCATATAGCGAAACTACTTTCGTGAAACCGATTTCCCATGCATGCTGCTAATTTCGTAAAGCCGAATTTACATTACGAAACTAGTGTTATGCATGTTGGAATGAGTTTCATGAAAATAGTTGCAGCACGTGTGAAACTACTTTAACAAAAAATAATAGTGTCGTGAAATCAATAGTATCACCAACGACATGGCTCTGTCAACATCAAAGCTTCATTTTTGCGATGCAGAACGTCGTGGTACAGATGTTAATATATAAAATTCGAAAAAGGTTATCTCGAAAGAAAAGACGTTGGTGGATTCGAGGATGGGTAGGAAGAAAGCATTTGGGTGCAACGCGTTTAATTTCTGAATTAGCAGATGAAGATCCCGAGAGCTATACAAACTACTTTCGAATGAGTGAAGATTATTTTAATTGTTTATTAAGTAAAGTGTCATACAAAATATCTAAACGTATTTTGCTTACAACTTCTTTCACAGTGTCCATTTCCATGGTTTCCATAATAATTTTGTAGGCCGCCTCTCTAGCATCTCTATTTTTATATTGAGGGTGTTTTGGATCCCAAAGACACTCGTTACGCTGGTATTCGTTAATGAATTTTATATTTTTATCAACTGACCAACGTTGGTTTGCCATTTTGGCGGTCATTTAGCTGCACTCAAACACACACGTCTGCCCTGTGCAAATGCTTTCGCGACACTAGTTTCGTGTCGCGTTTTCATCGTGAAAGTAGTTGCGTGACATTAGTTTTACAAAAAATATGCGCATGGCACGAAATTTATCCAGTGTCGCGAAACCGATGCATGCATTATGAAACTGTAAATTTACACACGTGAAATTGTTGATGAAATTTATGTCATAAAACTAATTCCGAGCCACTAGTTTCGTAATGTAAATTCGGCTTAATGTAATTCCGGCTTAAGAAATATCTAGTACCTAAGTAACTTAAGTAAGTCTGTTAAAAGTCGTTTTGGAGACTGAACTGTATACACACGGTATATTTCAAAATTCATTCAATTTGAACCAGTAGTTTAAGAATTATAAATAGTCAAATTTCTTAATTTTGTCACTCACTCACTGACCGATCATCAAAACTGTAAGGCACTTCTAGAAGATATGGAGGCTTCAAATTTAGAATACAATAACGACATCTTATACCAACCATATCAATGTTACAAATCTTTCATGTTTTAATAAATGCATGGACTTTTATGCGGTGATGCTAGTTATTTCGACTATGTATTTGCGTGTTGTTCCCGCGAGAATGTAAGTGCGTGCTCCTACTTCACAATGCCTACTGCTGATAGAGGACAAATCTTTGTTTTTAATTTATTTTATTATTATTAATTATATGCACTTCACGAAATTAAAAAATCCACAGATATGAAAACAGCTCTAGTCACCTACTACGCATATTAGGGTGGGCCAAAAAAATTAAATCTAGTTATTCGTACAGGCACAGCGTCAAAAAGGTGCTAAATGGCGTAAATGATTGATACGTGAAGTTGAAATATAATTATTTTAAATTTTGCTGCCTCCGGATTGAGATAGAATTTATTATAAATTTTAATTTTTTGAGCCCATGTTGAGATTTTTTTCTTCACTTTATTTCAATCTTTTTTTAGCGCTTATTTGTTTTTAAAAAGAATAGTGCATCTTTTGTTTTGTTTAGTTCGAGGACAAAAGTGTAAAGAGGGGTTGGTACCAGTGTGGTGTGGTGTTAGATTTGACAAGAAACGCACGACTTATAGCAAAGACAATCTATGTCTGCACGCATTACGTAATTAAGTGAAGTCACTTTTTAACGAATTATTAAGAATGAAACGTACGAAAAGATGTTGGAATTATCCGTTATTTGGTAGTCTATATGATTTGAAAGACAACATAATATTGCCCACATATGAATATGTGATGAATTTGTATGGGTGAAACCGACACAAGCTAAAATTCGGGAGATAAAGAAATTGAGGGTAGTGTGATTGCAAAACTAATAGAAATATGGTCGAAATCTTCTATTCCTACAGTTGAACCTAAAAAAATGAACGAAATGCTGGAATCATATCATTTAAAATGCAAAAATTTGCTAGAATCTCACCCAAAAAAACTTAGATTTAAGATCGAAGATTTTCGTCATGGAATGACGTCTCGACTTGCAAGTGTCGAGATTTTCCCCTTTTTGGGGTAAAAAGTACCTGCAAGAAAACACAGCTTCATAGTAGATCGATGATCCGCGAGAAAAATGGTAATTGGTAGTATATACGTAGATGTCGACACAACAAAACAGATGACAAAATTAGTTATTTCAACATATTGACGGCGGTACGTCTGAGCCCAAAACATTTTCAGAGGAATTAGTAAGCAGCTTAAAATCTGTGAGCCCTCTCACAGATTTCGATAACTCAGTTTACTGCTATTCCTACGAACCTACTGGAGCTTTCTGTTAGTACAGACCAGAACTACTTGTACAGAATAGTCGAAGCAGTTTCAACAGGCACATTTCCCAGCAATTTAGCGAACAAATCACCAGGCATAATGTGTCATGCCCCATTGTTAACCAACGAGACAATAAGATTTTGCATCTGTATGCTAAAGTAGAGACTCCTTCTGAAAATCTCTTTAAACGAATGTGATGAATGAAGCACTCTTGCAACGTAAGCTGTTAAGTTTTACGCGCCGATATGGTTTTCCATAAAAACTCTTTCAAGCTGTAATGATGGATCGAGGCCTTTCTATAAACTTATTGAGTAAACGCAATATGCACCAACAGCATTGAAGGCTGTTATTGACGCACCCAGAAAATGCTTAAATTGTTAACAGACCCCAGCGGAAAATTCGCGAATTAGCTGCACTCTATACTCGATAGACGAAAAATATGGCACAGAGCGCCCCACGCTTTTTCACAATAATACCAGTATTTTTTGTTCATTACCATTTTCAGCCTAAATTAGGAATTATTTTTCACTTTTTAGTTTGATGTGCTTTAAAAGCATGTTTTTTAGTTTTTTTTAACTATTATTTATTTTTAAGTTTATTTTTTTTTTATTTTTTTTTCGGATTATTGCATTGCAATCTTTGACAGGTGCGCAAAATTTGAATTAAATCTGTCCGTTTAAAGTGGGTCAAAATCGAGTCCGAAGGAGTCGGTTACATACATACATACATACAGGTGAAGCTAATATAAAGCGTGTAAAAACAAAAGATTTGTAATATTGATATGGTACGTATAGGATATTGTTAGGTTAGCTAAGTACGTTATAACTTAAGATAGAAAGTGTATTTTCATTAGGGACTGAATTAAACGCCATGGATCTCACTTTTTACGGTAGAAGATCTGCGTTGCGAGACTGTTTTCTTACAAATTATGTTTTTGATGGCATTAAAATTTACTGCCAGTTATCCAATGGCGTAGAACAGACGAGAAGAACAAGAAATCCGTCACTCTTCAATCGTAAAATTTTATTACCTTTTACATAATATACAATTAACATATCTGAAGTCGTACGTATAATAAATATGTAAATTTTCTGTTGGGCGGAATTAATTTCCAAGAAGCATTGTTTGCAAATAGGATTACAACATAAAATACATGTTTGGAATAAATATTTAAATTATTTTTGTTAGCAAAATAGCGTTGCGATCGCTATGGAAAGTTATCAACACTACTTTATTTCCAGAAACAAATCATTTGAGTTTCAGTGTACAGCCGTAGACTGTCCTCCTGTCAGATAAAAAAAAAGTGCGTGCAGAAGAAGTGAAACTTCTTTGGCAAACAATTTTTTTAAACGCGAGATATATTAGGAATTCAATGAATTTAATTGTCATTAAAATATTAAAAGTGTCGAAAATTAATACAAATAATATATATAATTTTTTAAATTTATTTCTTCGATAATAAAAACACGTGGCATTTTAATTTGCAATTCGTCATTTGAGATTTCAATCAATTATTTTGCATAAAATATAAAATACTAATATTTTATAAATTTAATTTACGCAATTTTAATTTTAAAAATAGAATTTCTAGACGGTAATTCGCCCTTCTCATTCTCTCTCAATCGGTCTCAATCGCTATCTCCCTTTTCTTCGACAAAAACGCTGCACATCTTCGTGACGCTAATATTATTGCGTTTCATCCGTAAAAATTTTACCCCCACGACGAACCTCAGCTGTAGGTATTAGTCCGAAAAACTCTTCTCAACAATCTCCACGGTAAATGCGGTAGAAGATGCAAAAACGGGTGACATGTGTCAGGCACAGAAGACTTATCACCTACTTGCCTATTATACCACGAAACAGGTACTTACAGAAATCTGTAGTCAAGACTTAAAAAGGTTGCCCACTTTTTTTTAATTTTTCAATTGTTTGTTTTGACCACGCCCAACAACACGATACTGTAGATAAGACAATTGTGTCAGCAATAAAAGCCAGTCGTGCTACAAACCATTGCGGACATTATGTGTCATGTTACAGCTGGAGATAACGACGTCCAGTTAGTGAAGGTTCAGGTTTCAAGGGTTCAATTTTAAGGACAAAAAATTTAATTTTCAAGACTTGAAAGAAACGAAGATATAAAATACTAGTAGACTCGGCCAAGCGTTGCTGTGGCTAAGATTTTTGTTATATTACATAGTAGTAAACTATTCAAGAGAAACGGCAGAACACCAATCCACCATGCTTTTTGGTGGTTATGCCATTAAATTGTAGCTTATGTGAAACGTTGGTATTTATTTTGATAAGGATCAATACCTAGGTACGAATAAAGAGCCTTTTCTAGCGGTGTTATTTTAGAAAAAAAAAATTAATAAAAGGACGCTTATTGTGACGTAACTATAAAAGATAGAGACATGCTGTCGCGACATTTTGTATAGATAGTGATGTGTCCTGAAAAATTGTAATACATCATTTTGTTCTATCATTAATAGTTTTCGCAGCGCACGCGATTGAAGGAAATTTTTTTGTTAATTTTTTTACACCTTGGGTTAGATTATTCAAGTTTTAGTAAGCATCCCTATTTTTTTTGAAAATGAAACATAGCCTATGTCACTCGGGAATAGTGTAGCTTGCCAACGGTAAAAGAATTTTTGAAATCGGTTTCGGAGTAGTTTCGGAACCTATTCATTTCAGAAACTATTTAGGTTTCCAAGTAAAACAGTATGTAACAGCTGATGATTGAAATAGGGATTTTCCAACGTAGGAACAGTGACTTCATCAAAAGCGGTTCAGTTTTTAAGTTACAAGAATTGCGTGTGTATAATTTTCAATTAAGTAGACGGTATTTACAATATTCTCAACCTAAAATAATAAAAATTTAATTGGTTTAAATCTTGATTGCCATACAAAATATTTTGTTTGTGTGTTTTTTTATAAATTATTTATAGACAAATTTTAATTTTCACATAAGAACGCAACATTAATATAAACTAAATCAGTTTGTTGTTTAAAGGGCCGTTCAAGTATTACGTAATCAGATTTACTGCAATTTATCTTAATATATATAAATCTCGCGTCACAATGTTTGTCCTCAATGGACTCCTAAACTACCGAACCGATATCAATCAAATTTGCACACCATGTGCAGTTCGATCCAACTTGAGAGATAGGATAGTTTAAATCTCAAATTATAGTCGCAATTTTAATTTATTGCAAAATATTTGTTTATTATTTGATACAATTCTAACAGATGGCGCTGTGTTAAAATTATCAACGTTTCACATAAGCTGTCATCTACCTTTCACATAAGTTCTCCTACCGTTTCCCTTGAATAGTTTACTACTATGTAATATAACAAAAATCTTAGCCAGAGCAACGCTTGGCCGAGTCTACTAGTATATTATAAAGATATTGTGTGAATTGTCATTATATCAAGTAAATAAATAAAAATCTACCATCTGCGAGCTATTCTGGCGTGCGCTGCCAAAACCGCTAGAGTTACACATATGTAATGTATGATGGAAAGTTTATCTTAAATAGTCCTATAAAAAATCCCCCACAGTAGGTATATATCTGTCTTATGTGTAAGCAATTATAGCCAAAATAGTGACCTATAACTACAATAAAAATTGATAAATTATTTCAAATGCACATTTGGTTTTAATAAATTGATTCCTAAATGAAAATAGATACTTTTATCGCTTCTGGTAATTAAAGTAGATAAAATATGTGTTTCACGCTGCATAATTTGGACAAATATTATTTTAATCCTGCGCAGACGAAGTCGCAGGCACCAGCTAGTAATAAATAAATGAGATTTATAAAACAGTCTTAAATCAGCTTTAAGAGCCATATTTCTTCCACTCGCTATTAATAACACAGGGGATGCAATTTTTCACTTTATTTGCACCCACTGAGATAATATTCAAGATTTATTTACATTGAGTCTTTGTTTACGATAGGAATTTTATAGTCTTGAAAGTATATTTCGTATTCCTACAGCTAACACAAATTATATATAACAAAATATTTTTTTATTTTTATTTTATTTATTGAGAAAGATTTACAGCTTATTACTAACTTACTTACTAAATACAATGTTCTCTTACGCCATTAAATATATCTTTACACATAGTTAAGTACTAATACTATTAACTGGATTGGTAACAATAAAATGATTTTATTCAACTATATATATATATATAAATATATATCAAAGAAAGTAATAAACTAAGTAAAGATTGGTTAAGTAACACTTAACAGTTAAGTATAACTATATACACGTATAAAAACTTATGGTTCCTCATTCATTCCACTGAGAAGCTCAGATGTCATAGCTCTCCTTGCCGACACCACACTTGAGGCGAATAGGTCAATATATTAGACTATTAAACTTACTCGCCGCCCTAACCATAAAGCTGTTCCCTCTGTAATTGGTGTTAACTTTTGGTGTGTACAATAGGTGCATATTTTTAAGCGTCCTATTATACACACGGAGACACCTTACTTAGTAGCTCAGGACAGTCAACATTACCTGTAGCTAAATTTATTAAATATGTATGTAATAAATATTATACGAAATATATATCCAAAGATGGAATACATAATATACAAAAGGTTAAAACTTTTACGAAAGGAAAAGTCAGTAAAAATTATTAAATATATTTAACTGTGTAATACTTAATTCGGCTGTGTTGTGTGATGGTGTGAAATTGAGGGTGTGTATGTGGGGCTCATGATGCAGGTGATTTAGCACTATGTATATTCTTAATACTCCTTTTAAAATTCCGCGATAGCTTAAACAAGTCAATGCTTAAATATTGGACGTTGTATGTCCGGGCTGCGCGGTACAAAACTCGATTTTTCCCTAAAACCCTGACACAAGTTTTTATTACTTAAATTAAAAATATTTATAAGTAAAGCGTAGTTGCCATTATTTCCCGTACGTATCCTTACGAAAACATTTATCATACTGAATACCTCCATTTCTCTTGAAAGGGTCGCAATTTTATTTATTTTATATAATTCCTGTCAGGAATAATTCAGTATTATTATGAATTTCGCTACAAACATACATAATAACTAGCTGCCCCCGCGAACATCGTTTCTCTTTAATGTGATTTTACTTAGCCTACCTCTTTAGTACATACCAACATGGAACATTTTGCTATGCTACCCCAGAGACTGTTCGGTTTTCTGGAATGAAAACTTTTTAGGTTTTTCTGTGAATTTTGCTCTATATAAACCTCAGAGTTCAAGTCGTAGAAGGGTGAACATTTAGGGTTGTATGTATTTCTTAATTCCACATATTAAAAAAATATAAACATATTTGGGATTGACCCCTTAATTTGAGGGGTTTATAAGATTGATAGACAATTTTCAGACTAACTAAATATGCATAAAAAAATTTCTGAAGAATCGGTCGGGCCTTTTCGGAGGAGTATGGGAACGAACACGAGAATTTTATATATTAAAGCCCGTCTATATCCAATCTTCATAAATGTTAAATATACTTTTACTATTTGTTATATATATATTTATAAATCGATATCCTTACTTCCTTCAGTGCCATTGATCGAAACCCCTTCACATGAAAAGGCTTCAGCTTTTTCCAAATATCTCCATAGCTTTCTTTCTCCATTCGCTTCCTGCTAACGCTTCTATATCTTCTATCCACCTTTAGGGTGCCCTCTTCTCCTTCTTCCCCTTGGCTCTTTCCATATGGTTGTCTTTAAAATCCACCTTTTATTCGTGCTATATGCCCCGCTCATTGCCACTTCTGTTTCAGGGTTTTAGTTTTGCTAACAAACATACACAAATAAAGTCAGTGGTGCTACAACCTTTTTAGGTCTGGGCCTCATATTTGTGTATGGTTCATGAACCTAATTAATCTAATTAAATACACAAACAGCCCCGCGACTTCGCATGAAAACATCTGGTCTGACTCGCTGGTCCTTGATCATGAGGACTCAAGGGAGCTAAAAGTATCGTGGTCTCTTTTTGGTCTCATTTGACAGAAAGACACGAAAGAGTATTTATTTGCACAAGAATTAAATAATATTTACGATAAACTTAAACAGAAGAAGAACATGGCGCAGGGTGGCCTTGTCGCTACATAATAAAGATATAATAAAGATTTTCTTTCTTTCTTTTACTATAACCTACGTGCAATTTAATTTTTTAACTATAAAAACAAAATCTGAAGGCTTAATTAGAGTACTCTTTTTAGAATTGTCTGGAAGGGATAGCTTTTTATAAAAAAAGCATCTGGTGTTAAGTGATAACGCCCATGAACTCTCACACATTTTTTTTTGCTTTAAAGAATTGGTACGCTCTTCTTGAAGGACCCTAAGTCGAATTGGTTGCAAAATACTTCAGTGTGTTCCACAAAGTGGTGGTGCACAAAAACTGCCTTGAAAAACGCTCAGTTGTGGAACGCCCCTAAAGGAGAAAAAGCGTTGGGCGAAGAAAGTGGATTTTTCGGGTTGCCTATATATAAGTTCGCGTTGTGTTTGATGTGGTGTGGCCGGTGTTTGTTTCCAAAAAGTCTGCATATTGCTATTAAAATAATTGTCTAACAGTTAATTTAAGAAAAATTAACAATGTCTCTTTCTATCACAACGTAAAATTTACAGAAAGAGACAATGAGAGAGAGAACAGTGTGGTATAAATTAATATTCTTTTCTACAGACGGCTAGAAGATAACCTGCTGACGGAGTTGCCGCCTGCTATCCACCTACTACCAATGTTAGAAGATTTGTAAGTATCAAAATTTTACTATTTTCATTTGATATAAAACATGAGATCGTGAACAGTGTGGGTTAGAACAGGACGAGACAAGGATACGAAAGGGAATGCTTCGGTTTGGCCATGGATGGATGAATGAGAAGTGGTTGCCAAGTACTGGGTGGCGCAAAAGTACTGGCACTAAAGAAAATTTGTTTTTTTTTTATATGACGATAGTTTTCATTCTGTTGTTGAAAATTGTGTAGTGAACAAATGTAAAATAAACTGAAAATAAACATGGACCGTTTTACTCCCCAAGAACGTGGAATAATCGTGTCAATGTTCTTACGGAATAATTCATCAGAGATAAAAACACAACGTGAATTTCGTCGACGATTTCCTGCAAGATCACCCGATCTGACGAGTCCAGACTTCTTTCTTTGGGGTTTTGTGAAATCTCGGGTGTATGCGAACAAGCCACAGGCTCTCGCAGCTCTAAAAGAAAACATTCATCAAGAAATAAGGAACATATCGCAGGAAGTATTACGGCAAGTTATGCAAAATGTCATAAATAGGGCTCAAATGTGCATCAACTCTGGAGGTCACCATTTAAAAGACATCATCTTTAAATCCTAATGGTACGACATTTAATGGCTCAAATATACATTTAAAAAAACCTAAATCCAGTTTTCTAATTTAGAAAAAATGTTATAGCTGAACCAAATAGGGTCTTGACTTTTGCGCCACCCAAAAATATAAAAAAAAAAAAACTGTGGATGGTGAAGTCTGATGGGCTTTGGCGTATAGACCAAATTCATTAGGTACTAGAAAAGGTACAAGTAACAAAAACCCATAACCGATGAGCATGGTGAAAGTCATGAAAGTGGATGAAGTGAGAGAGGTATGTCAGGAGAGCAAGTGGAGATCCGGATTCTATGCCGAGTCCTTCGGGGGTTGGTGATAATATAAATACATAAAACCTATTTGATTGTTTGTTTATTTGTTCGTTAACTCCTATACAAATCACTATCGCTAAGTCGACTCTGATTTGTATTACACCCTGTAGAAAAATTTCCTTCTAAACTTCTGTTAGGTCACAGCCGTACTACTACTTATTACAGGTTAGCAATCTGCAGTATACCCTATCTATTCGTATTAGTGACGGTACAACCTTTTTAGGTCTGGGCCTCAGATTTCTGTATCTGTTTCATGATCATTTGTCAATAGGCAAGTAGGTGATCAGCCTCCTGTGCCTGACACTCGCCAGTTTGGGTCTAAGGCAAGCCGGTTTCCTCACGATGTTTTCCTTTACCGTTCGAGCGAATTTTAAATGCGCACATAGACAGTCCATTAGTGCACAGCAGGGATCGAACCTACGACCTAAGTTGTAGCGCCACCGTCCCTACAATCATCTGGACTTTTTATGCAGGTCATTAGCAAACAACAGAATAGAGGAGGTCGCTGTGGGGTTGCAGCAGAGTGGACGGCTGACCCGTCTGGAACTTCGAGGGAATCCCCTTTCTCGGCTTCACCCACAGGCGGTTGAACACCTGCCCAGGCTAACCACACTGTAAGTACTCAACTAATCATTATTTAAGACTGTATTTAGTTTATGAGAGACATATTAAGGGATAACAAAACCAGTAGAAACAATAATTTACGTAAAAATTGAACTGAGTTTTTCGAACGCGGCAATAGATGGCAACATATGCGAAATTTCATAGACTAATAAAGTCCTTTGCAAAAAAAACGGGCACTTGTTTGATGTGATGACTAAATCTCTCTATAACGTAAAACCAGGTACATTTGTTTGGATTAACACAAAACCGATCGATTCACTCTTTATAAAGCAACAATATTCTCTATAACGAAGAAATATTTTCATATTTAGACATCAACAACATACTTAAGTGTAATTGTTTTTATAATCAGCTTACAAACCTAAACTTTTGAGCTCATAAACAGCCGTCTCGCCTTTGTTATTGATAATTGCATTTACACGTGTGCATTTCTTAGATGACATTGCCTGTAGGAAATTTTGGTCTCAGTTACTAAACGCACCACCGTCACCTATCGTGTATTAGCCGTAAACAAACTTTGAAACTGTCAAGATGGCCAGTAAAATAAAAGCGTTATGTGCTTAGAATAATTTACCTATTGATAGTAATAAAATTAGAAATCATTGTAATTGGTTAATTTGGTTTTTTTTCTATTCATTCCCTAAAGCGAAAACGTACGAAATTGCTCGGTCCCATGAAATTCGTTATAAAGAGTTAACACTGTAATTCAATTAATATTAATTTTCTGATGTGGTCTGTTGATTTTGTATAAATTTTTGATGGCCGTCAACCCAGCTCCTAATTTCGCTACACAGATTAAAAATGTATGTCTGTGCGTTCTAAATTCAAAGCTTGCAACTTACTTGAAAATATCTTGTTTACAAAAGTTTTACAACTTTTGTTTTCCAATCCGTGGCGACGTTGTGTCTCTGTTTACCACTAGCCATTTCAGAAGTTCAGATGGAAATAAACTTGTGAAGGTTATTTTAAAACTGGGGTATTGCATTGGACTCAGCAAACACACATAGGGCATGGATCTGGTGGCGCCTTCTTCAGTTCTCATGTCATTTTCACACGTGTATATATCCTTTCTATAACATCTAATATATAAAATTCTCGTGTCGCGGTGTTTGTAGTTAAACTCCTCCGAAACGGCTTGACCGATTCTCATGAAATTTTGTGTGCATATTGGGTATGTCGGAGAATCGGACAACATCTATTTTTCATCCCCCTAAATGTTAAGGGTAGTCCACGCTAAAAAAAATGTTTTTATTTTTTTTTAATGATACAGCATTAAAGGATAACCCCTAATTTTGACCCCTCTACGATCAACCCCTATTTTTTATTATAAATGATATACATGGCAAAACGACGTTTGCCAGGTCAGCTAGTAATTTTATTATTTGATTGGCCTCTTGGTAACATGCGTGATGTTTGAGAGCAAAAATAAATCATTCCAAGTCACAGAAAACCTAGATTCTACCTGTAATTACCTTGACACAAATCTAATATAGCGATAAAATTATAACGAAACCCGATTCCTTTGCTGAAGCAATAAAGTGTTTGACCTCTTTTCCCGGCTGTCTTTTGCACCGCACTCCAGATAATTTACACTCGAATAAACCTTTATTGCTTAAGTTTAAAAATCAAATAAATAAACTGCAATAAGTGTCTTTTTTTTATGATGTTATTTTTAATTAGCCCTCGCCATGGCTCGCGTGATTTCGTGTATTTAGCAAGATTTTTTGTGAACTTCAAGAATGATCATTATACAGACAGTCCCGGTGGAGTAGAGGAGTAGGAGTAGAGGAAGCGAACGCTTGTGGTAACCCCCTGGGGTAGTTTATGTTTATTCTGCATCTACCCATCCCAATTCTCTTCCCAAGAAATATTGAAGAGATAGGGAAGAGAAGGGGGTGAACTCCAGGTTGTAGTGCCATTGGTATGTGTTGAAACAGTTTCTAAATTTCTACATTATGCCCAAAAAGAGAAGTGGCATATAGCAAGATGCACGCATAAAAGGTGGATTTCAAAGACAACAATATGGAAAAGACCAAGGGGAAGAAAGATAAGGGTGCGCCCTAAAGGTGGATAGAAGATATAGAAGCGTTAGCAGGAAGCGAATAGAGAAAGAAAGCTGGAAAAAGCTCGAGTCTTTTCCAGTGAATGGGATCAATGGTACAGAATGAAGTTTATAACAAATCTAAACTGTATATTTAATAAACAAGCTTTAATTATTATTATCAGTAGCAAGTCTGACAGGTATCAGAGGTATATACTGATACTGGTAGCGCTCGAAGGCAGGGGTTCTTTAAAATTGTTAACATTATCACATATCACAACGTAACGTTAAGAGCTAAAGTCATTACACGATAAGATGATATTCGCTTGACCCCGCTACAAATACCACTTAATGTGTTTCTCGGACAACTTGGCAATGTCGTTAGTTGAAGGGGTGTTACCAACCAGCGCTGGCACGTAACCGCACTGCGGTTAAACCGCCGCGGTTATGTTTTTAAGCTATTGCATAGATTTGTTAGCGGGCTTTGAGCGCGGCGACCGAATCAAAAGTTCCGTAACGAAATAAACCTAACACACGATGACGTAATATAGGCGCGGCCAATACGCGTTAGAGCGGGACAGAACGCATACTGCGTCTCACATCGGTTTTGCGTGATCAGATAGGCGTGTTAGTCTGAGTCTGGTAGAGGGGTAGATTGAATTAATATCAAGGAAAAAAAAATACTGCAAAAAATAAATAAATAATTATATTGCATAAGTTTATAAAAAATGCTATCCAATAGCTTTAGCGCGGCAGTCCCCGAGTGCCACACGTATTTTGTTTTTTATTGCAACTTAAGACCGTGTTTATGTCACAGCCAACTAGCTTAATCAGCAGTTCAATTAACAGCCTAGTCTCTTTACTAAACAGCGCCGTTGAACTAGCGGCCTGAAAGATATTCCCGTAGCGCTTACAACGTTTAATAAACTGGCTGGCTACAGCTTAGGACATTCGACTCCGTTTGCAATGTTTTCTAGCATTTACTTATTTTTCTTCTATTGTATCTTATAACAATGACCTGATTGTACGTGGTCCGGTCCGGTGGTGGAGAGGTCTGTCACTCAGGTCTCCTCTTATAGTATAAGATCCCGCTATACAACGACCTTCACCGAGATGCTTATTTAATGAAACTTATTTTATATATAATTTAATATGTCAATAAATATAATCCATATGGGTTGCCTAGCAAATTTCAGTCCAGAGTATGTTTAATTAATATTAAAAAAAAATTTTTTTTTTATAATTTGCATGTAGTAAATTTTTTGAACTTTTTTCAATCAATATTTTTAATCAGGGTAGTATTATATATGTATCACTATAACCTTCTTTTATACTAAAGATGTATATATACTTTAGTGTCACATAAAAAATATACACATAAATAATTAATTGATTAAAAACAACCTAACGTTTGCATATTCTATGGGCTTCATACGTTCGATTGGTATAGAATTTATCTATTAATCATACCGGTGAAATGTTTAAAAAAATATTTTTTTTTAAATTAATTAAACATACTCTGGACTGAAATTTGCTAGGCAACCCATATGGATTATATTTATTGACATATTAAATTATATATAAAATAAGTTTCATTAAATAAGCATCTCGGTGAAGGTCGTTGTATAGCGGGATCTTAGACCATTACAGAGACCAGTCTCTCACATACACTTCCTATTGTTATCATCTTAGTTAAATCATAATAACCTTGTATGTATATGTGAGAGAAGAACTAAAGATTATTATTATTATTTGACGAGAAATAAAAAAGCTAAAACATCTGACATAAGAAATTCTTTATTTAATATATTTTAAATGTAACTTATTAGTATCACTTCACTCTTGCATACTTTTTTTCGTTAAGCTTTGGAAAACATCATCAAATTTGTTATTTGCCGCTATTGACAGTTTGGAGTAGATAGCAGAAAGTGGAACTAAATTGAAATTGACAGGATAGGCAAGTAATGTACCGTCATCGATTCAAGTCATTTGCCTAGCCGTTGATCATCTCATATCATTCAGGCCGCTAGTTGAACGGCGCTGTTTAGTAACCAGACAAGGCTGTTAATTGACCTGCTAATTAAGATTGTTGGCTGCGACATAAAAGCTACCGCACAACGTACCGGTACAAATATGTACATTTAATATAGTGGCGGAGAGTTCCTTGTCAGTTCTCCTTGCCCGCTCTACGGCCTTGACTTGCGAACTAGTAGCAAATGTAAATTTAGAATCAATCTAACATCTTTTTTGTTGACGTTCGTAATTATACTTGGGTACATATAGGGTAAATGAATAAAGTTATTTTGAGATTATGTTATATGTCAAAGTATCAGAAAAGTTTACTACCAACAATTTCGAGATCGGAGTTAATGAACTTACTATTCAAACCGTTAAATTCTCGTAGGAACGTAGGCTGTATCGAATAAATATAGTTTAAAAAAACTATAAAACACGCTTTTAACATTCACTCATATTTTTAAAGAACTTTCAGCTGGTGCGTTGGAGACCTAAAAGATCTCGTAACAACTATCCTCTGGTGCGTTAGAGACCTAATCAGTCTCCTAAAAATACACTTGAAAATAATTTATATCTTCCAAAAAAAATGACATATATTTTGAATTTTTTGTGGGTGAAAGATAGCTAATTGCTTTATATTTTCTAGGTTCGCACCAGTTACGACATTTGAATAAACTACAAATACAAAAAGAATTAGATATCGATTGTATCTCGTACCGCACCCGAAGATAGTTCAATATGTGTAGTAATAGTGATGGGAATAAAATATATCTCGGTTATCGATTCTAAAGGTTTTATTAATTATGCAAAGTGTTTTTCATTAAAACATGGTAAGCACATTGATTGCTTGCACATTACGCGCAAATGGTAACAATTCGTTTAGTTTTTTAGAAGGTCAGTGCTGTTTAACTGCGTGTGCTCAACGAAAAAGGT